TTGATTTGATACAATCTAAATCTCTTGATAAGCAAAAAAAAATACTTAATGTTAATAATAAGTTTTGTACTCATATCATGGAGAACCCAAGAATAGGATTGAATATTTTCCAAAAAAAAAATGCAATTCAAAATAAAAAGCATAGTTGTTAAAAAAAAATTAATGTAATAGAAAATAAGTTTGTTTAATTTGATAGTTACAATAGATTGCGGCTCAAATTTTGTGCAACATCTAATGGTCATATTCTTTCTTTAAAATCTTTATATTTTTTTATAATAGATATTTATTTAAGATCTAAAAATCACAAAGCCTTTGCCTTGTTAGATTCAAGAACTTTAGCTTATTTTTTTGATGAAGAATTTATTAAAAAAAATGAAAAATATTTATTAGAAATAATTAAGTTCATATATGTAGAAGTAATAAATGGTTGTTATTTGACTTTTGGAAATATTACTTATTAAACTATTTCTATAAAAATAACAACAAATAGTCATAATAACTTAATAATATTAAATATTATTATATTTTAGATTATAAATTTAATTATTTTAGATTTATTATGGCTAAAAATTATAACCTTTAAATATATTAAATTTCTTATAATCTCAATTTTTTTCATAGTATAATCAAGATTTTTATTCACAATATAGAAATTCATAAGTTTAGTACAATTAGACCTTTATTTTTAGATACATGAGCTTTCATGCATGCTAAAAAATTAAAATAAATAGAAATTAAAAATCCATCTAGTTTTATTTATATTACATTTATTTTTAATAATAAAATATTTTAAAAAATATTTTAAGAAAATATAAGGATTATTAAGATACTTTTGAAAAGAAGAATGAAAATATTCTTGTAAATCATCATCTTTATGACTATTGACTTGATCTTCAAGAAAGCACTCAACATCCATTTGGACCAATTTAAAGCCTATCACAAAATGAATTAGTTGCACTCAAATAATATATTGATGAAAACTCAGCCAGAAATTTCTTATGTTATTTAAATTTTAAATATTTATTTATTTATTTATTTATTTATTTATTTATAAAAAAAATGATGGATTACAAGATTTATTAAAGATTGTATTCTATCTTTTATCTTTATTTGTCGTTTCTTTGTATGTATAGCATTAAAAAAAAATAAAGAATAAATAACTAGCAAATTCAACTCAAGAGCTATTATTTCCTGAGTTACTAGATAAAACATTGAGATTATTATAGCCTTCAAGATAATATAATAGAAATAAAGACTCTCAAGAACAATATATTCTTCCTAAAATAGATGGCAAGATTCAATATGTTTGACATCACAACCATAAAAAAATATATACATATATTATTTAGTGTTATTTTGGAGGGTTAGAACCACCTTTAATGGTATTTTAAATGTTTCATTTGAAAGAAGTTATAAAGAGCTTAATAATAATCCAATAATAGGATGAACTTTGTGCCTTAGTATAAAATACTATCAATGGTTGAAAAGATCTATCAACTACTTTAAAAAAAAATAAAGAATACATGTTGAAAAAAATCCAAATTCAAATCACCATTCATTATAGAACTCTTTCCTAAAAAAGATGATAACGTCATAGATATAATCAATATTTTTAATTATCTTGATAAAAAGAGGTAGATAAAAATATATAAAAGTAGATAAGTTATATAATATCTTATGGAGAAGCTTGATAGATGCAGATTTGATTTTATACTTATTTATAAGTGATTGATAGATTGAAATCTTGGTCAACAAGTTAGCCATGTGGAGTATACAAAAGAAACTTGTCTTATAAATTAGACATATATTCTGCAAGTTAGATACATATTGGAGGTTATATACAATATTATTATGTAGCTCTTAGTTAGATAGTATATGTAAAGGAAAAAATAAGGCCTTTGTCACTCTTATCTATATCTTTCTTGTTTTTAATTTTGTTTCAAGAGTCTCTAAACTTCTTTGCAATTTATTTTCTTAAAAGTGTTTTAGCTCAATGGCTTAGATTTTTTTTAAAATATTGATAATGTTATATGTAATGCTTAGAATTTTTTAAATTTTATTTAGATTGTTATATTAAAATATAACATAATTCGTTTATATGCTAAATCTTTAAGATAACAATTGAAACATGAATTGCTTCTATATTATGAGCCAAATAACAAAAGAAGACTAAAAATATGCATAATAGTTATACACAACTATATTAAAGATATTAAATATATATATATATATATATATATATATATATATATATATATAACTTTTTTTTTAAATCAAGACATAGAATCTTAAAATTTTAGAATAATTTTTACATTAATAAGTCTTTAAAAAAAATATGCTAAAAATAAATAAATAAATAAATGTTAGTTCTAAGAATTCATGACTTGACAATTGCATGAATAAAAACCAATTCAAAAAGTCACAAACATACTTATCTTAAGAAAAGAAAGTCAATTAATTATTAGTTCAATTACATCTCTTAGACCAACAATAATATCATTATATGATCATGCAATAGACTAATTGATAGACTAAAATATGCTATAGGAGCATATTATTTGAATTTTTGAAAATATTTATAATTTAATAAATATGATTTTTTGTAGTAGTTCAATTAAAAATCCTCAAAGTATGTATATTATCAATAAATATTGTAAATGAGTAATATAGATGTACCAAAAACATCTCATCTAATTAGAAATCTACCACATTGCAAAATGCAACATACCAAATTAAGATTGTTTAACTATGATACAAACCATTTTTTAAAAGAATAATTATTTAGACTACTTTTGGATTATTAATATAATTATATATTTATCATTGTAGTTTTAATAAGTTTTTTTTGTACATGAAATCATAGAATAGAATAAAGCAAAAAACCAAATACCATTATACTCAATACTCAAATTCTTTAAAATATAAAATGTTCATGTATACTTTATTTATTTGATATGATTAATAAGTTAAGTTATTTTGAGGTGTTTATTATTGGTAGAATTTTTGTGTTTATGCACGTTGTTAATACATAAAGGTTAATAAAGAACAAGCACCAATTTTAATGATACAAATATTTTTTTTTTGGCTTTTCCTTTGTTTTATTATTGTAATTGAATTGTTAAATTGTATTACCATAAAAGATGGTATTATAGATCAAATCAAAGATATTGTACTACAAAGCAAAACAAATTAAAAACTTATCATCTAAAATGCTAATACTATAACTTTTAAATGAAGAGGTGAAAAATTCACTAAATCATATGCAATACAATCTTACAAAATTTCAATGCAATCATAGAATAAGTAATATATTGGACCAAATCTTTCACCTTCCAATAACTACTAGATTTGGTCCAATATATTACTTATTCTATGATTGCATTGAAATTTTAGACTATTATAAGCATTCTAGAGAGAAATATCTCTAATTAATAGAATCACAATTTAAAAAGTGTCTAAATAATTATTTAAGACTTGTAAGTAAATTATATACATATTAAGTAAAAAACAGATTTTAAACTTAGGATGTATACTCAATGCTTGTATCACTTAAATACTTCAAATAAAATAGCAACAATTATTGATAAATAAATAAATAAAACCATGGTATCTCTTCTATACTTGATTGCACATTATATCTACTAATATTGCACAATGACACAAATAAATAAATAAATAAATTATATATATATATATATATATATATATATATATACTATTTTTGTAATTTTATACAATTCCAAAAAAAAAACAAAAAAAAAAAAAAAAAAAAAATCCTTAAGAGTTCATAAATAAGATAAATAATCAAAAATTTAGATATTTAGATATCATAAAAATATATATTACTATTGTTACTACTAACATTTATTATATTTAATACAAAAATGATAATAAAATATGTGCACTTGATGAACAGAAGTACAACTATTATCCTCTCTTGAAAGAAAAAATAAACAAATTAAATTGAGATTCTGTTTTCTTCTTTACAGAAATTGTTTTTTGGTATAATGTATATAAGTTATAAATGATGTATATGACATCCTTTATTGGGTTGCAAGTGAGCAGACATGGAGATCCAAAAAGAGTAGGATATCAAACCAATAAATCATAATAACAAACATGCTGACATAAAATAAATATTGGAGAATGTTTATGAGAATTACTAGACCAAAAGGAAGAATAGTAGTTTCTTGTTGACGCTCAAATAAATTATTATAAAACTGTTTACAAATACGAAATGCATAAAAGAATTCAATATTTAACCAATATCATAACTTAATTTAATATATTAAGAGATCATGCATGGAATGCCACATTATGCATATTTCAGATGTAGCTCATATGTTAATAATTAAGTGCAGGCATAAAAATTATAGCTTACTTCATATCCACACGTAAGTAAAATAAAGGTCAAAAAAATCTGAATATTGTTGGCGTGAATTACAATGATATCAATTTTAATTTATAAGTATGTGTTAAAAAAACATGATGAGATAAACAATTTAAAATACGTATTGAAAAGAACACATGCTTAAGACCATGCACATTTTAAAAGTCATCACAGTTTACATTTAAAGGAGTTCTAGCTACATTAAATTGGACATGATTGTTATCATAAATACTCTCTATTTGTAAGATGGTATTGTATTACAAAATCCAACTGTAAGAGGCACAAAAATTGCATTGGTATTAGCAACAGACTTGGATAACCTATTCCAAAAGGAACTAGAATTTGTATATTATCATATTTCCCAGTGTACTACCAAATTCATTATTTTAACTTACATTGTTGCTTTCGCTTTCACTTATACTTAAGATTACAAGCTATTCTGCAACATTATTTTAACTTTCTTCAAAAATTTATGTATTAACAATTGAAGACTATAGATTTATTTTGGATTCTTCGACAGTTCATGACGAAAATAATTTTTGACTGGCCGTTTGAATTGGGAGAATGAGTTCAAAGATTGATAACAAAACGAAGTTCAGGTACACCCAGATTACATGTAAAGCAGATTTCAAGGTGTTGTCACCTCCAATCTCATACGTCTTGCAATTAGCAAATTTTGCCAAGCCGTTCACCCAGAGTGTTAGCATCAGTAAATTCGCATTCTGAATGAAATAGCTTTCATATTATATGGATACTTCAAAAATCCCGCAACCCACGCCTCGAGAATGACAACTAAGCAGGCAAGCTAGTGTGACCTCCACAGTCGCAGGTTCAAATCCTACAAATGTACGAAGAGCGAGGTTGAACACTTAGCTTGACTTGACTAGGATGCGCCAACCCCGATTCCTGCTGAAACAGGGAAAATAGAGAGCTGGCACCCTGCACGACAAGCGAATAGCTGAAGCCAGATCAATTACTCTAGTCTAGCAGGGTCATGTTCCAGCGATTGCCTGCTGGGTGTTATAAAGCAAAGGTAGACTATCTTAGTTGCTAATCCATTCGGAAATGCCAAAGCATACTAGAGGGTTGAGTGACTGAAATCATATTTTAGTAAGGAATAGCAATCACTGAATCGTTGCGGGTTGAGGACGCAGGATTCGACGCAAGTATTCTCGGATCTCTGATGAAATGCGATGAAGGAGAGCTGGATACCTGGAAGCAAACAAAAGAAACATCTCTAGAAGATCAGCCAATGGGCAAAAAATTGTACTAAAATATATCTAACAAGTATGAATATAGATTTACTGAAAAATATGTTCGGAATATCGGAATCCACAGAAATCAATACCCTGTCATGCCGCACATTTGCTCATGGTGTTTCAAAATGAACAAAACACAGGTATCTCTCAGTGATAAAGCATGGTATGCCTCCGCCAAGTCGAACACATTCATCACAGTCTCAAGTGTCAAGTTCTGCGTCTCAGAAAAAATTTGGAAAAAGTTAGTGCGTACTAGTCAAAACCTCAGCAACAGGAGGATTAATTGGAAAATAGAAATAAAAAGATAGGATAAACCCTTAGATAACTTCATGCAACGAAAACACATGATATTTGATGAAAGCGCCAAATCTGTGTATATGACATTTAAACAAGCTTCAACGGCTAGAAAATTTATGCATACCTGAGCTATAGAATACTCACACAGGCGCTTCAATCCTTCTAACAGATATTGATCAGCAGCCCTCAATAAATCTTGAGCATTATCAGAAGCCACTTCCACATTACCTGTGTAGATAAACCTGTATAGGTGTCGCACCAAATTTCAAAAGGTATTGATCAGTAGACAATGAGAATCAGGTTGGCTGTCGCACACAATAACAAAACAAGATTATGCCATGATCCGCCATTTCAACAATAAAAAAATGTGGACCGTCTACAGGATATTCGTCATCTTATCTATCTAACTAACTACACAACTTACGACGCATAGTAGAGATGTTTTCAAAAACTAAGAAACCTAACTGTTTTCAAAAACTAAGACCCGGACTGTTCACCATGTGAAGAGAAATCAATGCGTGTGGGAGTATAATAAAAACCGGGGTCTTAAATACTTGCCTCATCATCAGCTCAAACACCTTCCAACTGATGTTTGGAATCTCGATATCCAGCGCTTCTTTCTCCTGAATGAGAAAAGAAAAAAGGGACTTAATGGTTAGAACTAACTATTTCTAGAAACCCTGTGTCGATTTCAAGTTATAGTTAAATAGAAATAATAATAACGATCAGAAATTTTTAAAACCATTAAGCTCTACATTTTATGTGTGCAGAGTAAGTGGAAATATAATTGTAACACAACCTATTGGATCACGGTTGAGAATTGCTATACCTTGTAGCCACCATCGAACATAGCACGGAATGCATCGGAGGATGCTAACAACGCTATTCGGTGGGCGTAAAAGCGTCTGCCTGCAAGCATTCAAAACATGATCAATCATTATCCTTTCAGCACAACTGTTCGTACGCACATCCGAGCACAAATATCAAGTCACTAATGAACCTCTCCAATACATTCAGCCCTTCCGGTCTTAATCAGCTTGACATATCTCTCCATGATGTAAAAAATAAAACATATAAACCTCATTTGGTGTCATTTGTTACCCAAAAAAATGCCTGTGATCAACCAGTAAGAATATACATGAAATTCGTAACAATTAGCAACTATAATTAACAAGAGCTAGAAAGAGGGGAAAGAGCTAAGCACTACATTGATGTATGCATGTGTGAAAAATCCACCTTCTACAAGAAATGTCACGTCAGAAAGTGTGCTGCTGTTTACATACTGTTCACCAAGGTAAACCTGTCAAGGATGAGGATCAAGACGAATAGTCAATTATCCTCCAAAAAAAATGCCGCGCTCTCAAAATCTTGATAGGGACAATAGCTCGCGTAGACCACAAGACACAGCACCTCAATCTAGAAACCTAGGGCTTTAAAACAAGCAACATCCAGAATGAATAATAAGATATAAGAAAAAACCTGGGGTGTAGGAGGAAGCGGGGCAGCATCAATAGGAGCCAGTGCATTTGCCTTTCTAGCTAATGTACATAGGGCAAGAGCACCATCCCGTTGAAGTTTGGGGGTAGCGAACCCATTCAGCATCTCTAAGAGAACATCCATGCCTGTTCATCACATGTAAGCTGCGTCAACCATCGGATGCACTCTTAAACACAGTTCATATATCAGGACCAACGAGAATGAGAACAGGCGCGTATGCATGGCTACACGAAATACTCACCATTGTTCTCAATAAAGATAAGGCGTTGATCATCAGGGCAGCAAAAATGAGCAAGCGTAGTGGCAACCCTTCTTTGCACCACCTTGTCAGCTGTACGTAGAAGGTATAGTAGGTGCTTCAACACCTAACATATTCGAACATAAAAACTAATGAGTGAAGATTAATTGGCTATAACCAAACTGGCACAGGAAAGTCCGTTCAAACAGAAAATTTTAAAATCTGATGAAAAACAAATATATTCTGCTCATACCCGCCCATGAATCTTCTCTTCCAGCCTTTTTAAGGTTTTCTGTACACAGTCTTTCGAAGCCTGAATGGTATTATACATGAACAAGCCAACTTTCAGACTGCTTGATATTATTGAGAAAATCATGTCCTGTCAGCCAAGAAGATGTAACAAAAATTGTAGCAAAGACTGCATGTAAAAGCTAGTTCTTCAGCACCAAAACAAATCATAGCCAAAATAATTGAGAACAATCAGGTGAAGAAAGAATACCTGCACGATAAAATAGCCGTCGTACAATCTTTGTACACCACCTTCACTAACTATATCAGAGACGTTATCCTGGCAGGAAGTAATAACACGACTCAAAAAATGGGTATGATGTTATCCAGTCAACAAGAATCACCAGATAGGCTCTTCAGGAATATGCAGTGCTGAAAACTATACATGTTGAAACCAATTTCTTAGAACCATAAACAGAGAGAGAAGCTTTCTCTGACCTCATTGTCAGCCAAGCCGTACAATGCGAAAGCTGCATTATGCTGTAGAGATCCATTTTTAGAGTCCAGAAGCTCCAGCAAAGGCCTTAGCCCACCGTCGTGTACAATTCCAGCTTGATTATGGGTGTTCTGCGAAGACTATAAACAGAACTGTTAATTTGGACCCCTGGCATCAACCATTGCAAAGGAAAATGAAAATAAGTAGCCTGAAATGAAAAACAATCACTTCAATAACTCAAACACTCTATCATGGCTACAAATGCACTTGAATGATCAGGACCTGAGCAAGCCGGCCTAAAGCGAAGGCCGCCATCTCTCGGAGTTGAGTATCAGTAGCTTCCAGCATCCTGATCAGCGGTCGCACGGCACCCCGTTGAACTATATGAACCTTAATCGTTCAACACACAACAACAACTGATGAATGCAATGTAAAGAAGGATGGCTGCTACTTGAATCACGTGCAGTCAATCTCGCATAGACCAGACGGCACCGAATAAGGATCTACTGATGATTTAGAGCAATTGAAATACCTTACAGTCGGGGTCGGTTGTTGCAAACTGTCCTAATAAAAGAGCAGCCTCGCGCTGACTTTCCTGGCATCTTGAACTGACACACAGAAACAGGTATTGATTAAAAACTCATGAGTCAATCTTATACTACCATCATAATGGCTTGGATGCCAAGCGGAGTGAATCACAAATAGTAATTACTCGTCAGAATTAGCACAAAGAGAATAGATGCTCCCAACTCAAGTCAGAATCATACGATGCTCCTACTCCGTATACTCAGAATGTCGTTCAATACCTCAAAAGGCCGATGACAGGCTGGAGAGCCCCTGCTGCCAGGACTTCTTTCTTAATATTGACAGAAGAGTGGACAAGATTGCCAATTACACCAACCTAGATGTCCAGAGACGGGCATCCCTTATGTCAGAATCATGAATTCTTGCCAAACTAAGACTCGATACGTGCATCGACAATCGCCTACGATTGTCTTCTATAAGAGATGAGAGAAAAATGTTACGATAATGCAACAGCAAAATATGTGAAAGCGATTCAATTCAGAGTTTCCACAGGTACAATAGAGTACAAGGAAAGGACAGCAAGATTAGAGACTAGATTCATACGGCCTCATAATGAATTCCAACGTCTTCTGAACGTAACATTAGAATAAGGGTAGGAAGCGCATTTCCTTCCACAATCTGCGCAAATGACCTAAGTTATCAGGAAATTTGACAAAAGGCCGAGTAAAATAACGGAGGCTGCAGGACCTGAGTTATAGCTACCAAACGCTGAACATCGAAATGGAAACAAGGAACACTAAATATCACGTTGAGTGTTCAAGAGATGAACCATAATTTTGGATACTGTAATACTGTAATAGGATGATTCTTGCATGTAGACTGCTCAAGATAATAAAGCTCAATCTTGTAGATATTATTGTATTTCCTCTCAAAAAAACAACCCTCGTGGTTCTGAAGATGGGAGACCTGATTTTTGTTGGCCTCATTCTTGAAGGCCAAAGTACGCAACGCACCAGCTGCGGCCCGTTGAACCTTAGCGTCATTAGATTCTAAAAGTTTGACTAGAGGAGGAATCCCACCTTCCGTTCTGTACAAAACAAAAATAACATAGTCAACAAGTGAATCACAGACGGGCACAAGTGTCAACATAGTAATAATCCAAATCAACTCTCACACTTTACCTGACACGAGTCTTAATATGTGCATTTTCGTGTGCAAGGTTCGTTATAGCATCTGCAGCACGTCGGACGACACCATTTACAACTCGTCCGCTGTTGCCACCACCTTGACGCAATAATAAAGCCACCAGCAACGGCAGAGCGCCAGCATCAGCAATTCGCCGTTGATACTCTGGCTATAGGACCAAGAAGTATCAGTACCACTGCGAGACGTTTTCGATAACTCACGATTCAGGAAGGCCATTAACGTACAAACAACTGGAAGCAAAGACAGACTAAATACAGGAAGCTGATTCACCTTCACAGCAAGCAATCCTAATGCAAATGCAGCATCCTTCTCGACTTCGTGTTCACAAGCAACGGGACCTTCGCCTTCTCCAAGACTAGGCGGACAGAGATGTGCAACAAGCGCATCCACAGCTCCTTCCTCCACAATAGCGTCCACGTGATCTTCTGAAGAATTGCTAGAGTTTTCTGAATCAGTTTAGGAAAATTTCCCAAGAAACCTCAAGCATACTTAACATGTGATTCGTGCAGAGGACCAACATCAATGAAATCCCTGTGAAAACGCGCTGGATAGATGCTTCTCACCCCGCTTCGCAAGCTCCGCGAGACTATGAGCGGCACGCCGCGCTGCAATTCGGTCATTCTCTTTCCAAGAAACGCAAGTCCTTAGAATCTCTACTTGGTCTCGAACACCGATTGAAAACGCATTGTTAGGTTCATCTGCAGCAGGAAACCGTAAATACGCGTCCGCCAGTTTCCTCTTGTGTCCTTTTCTTTCGCTTTCAGGATAAGATTTGGTCTCCATGCGTTCATCTCCCGGTACAGGCGAGTTATCCATCAAAGCACACTCTTCCAAGCGTTAGTGTAAAGATTAAGTCCTAAACACTGGAGCAGGGAGCACTGCCAACAGGGGTACTCATTCTACGGCACTAAACCACGGGTAGATATCACAGCAAACCCGCAATCTCTGAAATACAAGCACAGTGCGAGCCTCTAAAACCCTCTCAGCCCTAAACAAACACCTCTGATGCCCACCAAAAGAATCTCAAACGCCTCCCGCACATTCATCCAGATCCGCAACAGTGAACCCTTGCTCAAATTGGGGGAAAAACAAAAAAAAAAACAAAAAACAAAAAACAAAAAAAACAAAAAGTCCTACTGCTAACAGCACGACAGACGCGAGTGTCCTATCGCGGTTAGCGGAGAACAAAAACTCCTGCCAACGGAAAAGCTCGGAGAGTCGGAGCACGCCAAAGAGCGAAAGAATGACGATTGAACGATACTACTTCAAGGTGTCTGTTCTCGCAGTACATAGAATGACCAGCAGGTCGGTAAGAAGAAGCTCGACCACAGAAGGATTACACTCCTCCTCCTGCTCCTACTCCTCCTCTTCCTCCTGAGCAGCAACAGCAATGATAAACAATCGGGGACACAGACCGCGAGGTCGGCACTAAATGCTTCGGAGGAATAGGCGGAGCATGCCCGGGTCAGACAGAGTCCGTAAAATTCAAGTCGGAAGGCCCGTTCGTCCTACCACCACTCTGCCACCACTACCACCCTCGCCGTCCTCCTCCTCTTACTCCTACTCTCACTCTCACACACTCTCTCTATCCTGAAAAGGTACTTTTCAAAAACAAAACTGTGCAACGAACATCGTCCTCTCTCTTCTTCTTCTTCTTCCTCTCCTTCCTACCTTCTCTCCCTCCCAAAACTCCAACCCTAATCTATCCATTCATGAACATCATGGAGGCATTGCAAAAGCATGCACCCCCATCATCACCATCACCACCTTCTTCATCACCTCCTCCACTACCCTCGCTTCTTCTAATCACCCAATTTCCTCTCGTCCTTCTTCCTCCCTTTACTTACTTTTTCATGTACTTTTTTTAATTCTTCGACAACTTTTTGCAGTTTTACTTTGGAAAGAACTTCTCACATTGTTCATGTTATAAGGTTGGTTTAAGATTGTCCTTTAATTGTACTTGTTGTTTATTTATTTTGTATAGCAAGAAAATGTCTTAATGTCTTGTTGTTCTTTAATTTTATAAACACAGTTTATTTTGTACCTTTTTGTTTTAATTATTTCTAACTTAATTGTTAAAGATCACAACATTGATTGCACATGGTAAAGTTTATCATGGCAAAAAAAAATTGTATGTGTTCCAAAACATTTAAAAAGTCAATCATCTGTATGTGTTCCAAAACATTTTTTTTTGGAACTAAAGAAATTCAACAGTATTTCTGGATTTTTTATACAAAAAAAAACAAACAAAACAAAACAAAACAAAAACAAAGTAAAGAAATGAAGAAATGAAATAAATTATTTCTGTCAAAAGTAAAATGTTGAAATGTAAATACATACATATATACATACATTTGTATGGTTGACTTAAACCTCAATTTTCAATAAACACTTGAAATTTTGTAAGTACAACATGCAGGAATATATATATATAAATATAAATATATATATTTCACTTACACACAATAAATGCACTTAATATATATAGATATATATATATAGATATATCACTTAATAGATTTTTATTATATATATATATATATATATATTTTTAGAGTCAAGTGCATTTAAATCACCTCAAATTAACTATCTTTATAAAATATTGAAGGTCTTTAGGTTTAGCAAAGAAGGAGAGAGATTACAATTATCAAATCTTATAATTGGTTGAAAGTAGCAAGCTTAATTAATTTGGATTTATATTTAGATAATTTGACCGAGAGACCATGAGAAGAAAAGATGAAGTTGAATGTATTTTGTTTCTACATGATTTTAATGATGTTGCTCTTTGGCATTTATGTTAGGTCCACCTTAAGAGGTGATATTTATAAAAAATTGATGATACATGTCTATATATATATATATATATATATACATATGCTTTAGGTTTGTCCTAATTGTCTTAATCAAGATACAAGCTAAAAAATATTTATTATAATGAAACAGTAATTTTGTTTATGCAATTGCTTCCTCACACTTTATATCTTTTCCAAAGACCTAGAATTTTACAAGACAACTTTTCTTCAATAAACATGAGATTTTTATTATGCTCCTAAATCTTGGCTTTTTAAAGTAGGCTTCTAGATATAAAGTATTTTTAAAAAATAAAAGAATCCTATTATTTTTACACCTTCTTTGTATGCTTTGTAATTCTATATTTTTTGTATTATGAGATTTAAAATTATCATTTTAATTTATTCATTTTACTATTTTAGTTTAAAATTTAGTTTTAATTATATTAATATTTAGAGCTTTCAAAATGAGCAAGAAGTACATGGATCAATACCATGAAGCTAAAAATATATAACAATCAGTTATGTTGAAGCTAAATAAGATTTGATGGAGTATACAATTGTGAGAGTGCACTTCCAAATGACTAATTTGATGAAAAATGTGAGTGCTAAAGAAATCCATAGTCTAGCTTCTTCTTCAACATTGTCAACTAATAATAATAATAATACACCTTTTCATGCACAGGATGCTTGTTTTTCTTCTTGAGCTTTGTATCAAGGCTATATATCTGTTACTTCTTCAACTTTCATAAAATTAGTTTTGAAGTTTCAAAGCTTGCTTTGCAGTGCATTATTCTCAACTTATTGGTGATTTATTGCATATGGTGTGTACATAATTATATTAACAAGTATAGAGTTGCATAAAGAAATACTTCTTATCTCTAGTGTTTCAGCATTATGATGGTGTCTTGTAAGGGAAGGAAATTGGGACCTACATCAAGGCAAATAAGAGAAGGAGGGAAGCAAGGACCTATGCCAAAGAAAGGAAGAGAGGCAGCAGGACTTGCACTGAGGCAAGGAAAAAAAGAAGAGAACCGAGACCCACACCAGACAAAGATGAAGAAAAAAATAATAAATAATAAATCTAGATGAACCAATTAGAAGTCTTAGATGTGTGTATAGACATAATGGGTGTGTGTATAGTAACTTGGGATGTGCTTCTAGCCTGAGTCTCTATATATATAATTATATAATCATAATAAAGTTTTTATTACAAAAAATATAAATTATGAATGATTTGCATTGATAATCTTACAACTACTTATATTATCATCTTCTTAAATATCTCTCTCTCTATATACTTATTTATTTATTTAAATGTATAACAAATTAACTTTTGAAAACTTCAATTGAAAGACACATTGATAGTTCAACCAATATGTTAGTAAATACTTGCAAGAAAATCAGATAGGTACAAGTACTAAGAAATCACTTCAAAATGAAGCAAAGTAGACAGTATGGTCTTTCCACTATACAACAAGATGCAAAAACCACACAAAATAAACAATAATCAAGGCATGAATTTAGAACATTGCAGCTATTATGGTCATAGCATAATCTCGATATATAAATGGAATTATCATATATTTGTAAAAATCATGCTTTTAGATCACCCTATAAATATTTGAAAATTATTTTAAAAAATTAAATGGTTCTAAAAAAAATACTATTAAAAATTATTTTTGTAAGTTTCCTGTATAATTTAAATATTATTCAGAATAAAAACCACAACCTTGTGGTCTTGCTAACGATACCAATTTCGCCATACATTGATATTAATTTAGTGCTACGTGTAATTGTAAACTGTAACACATAAATGGAGAACAATTTTAAAAAAGAAAGATGGATAAATTAAATATAAATCTTTTGTTCATGTTCAAAATCTCACCCATCTAAGTCCTTAAATATTTTACCTTAAAAAGGGTGAACATTAATTTACATTATATTCTTGCCTTCAAAGCCCCTTGCTGCTTTTGATCTGATATTTCATTCAAATTCCACACTTCTAACCACAGTTCCTTCAGTCCCATTGCAATGTTTGTTTGTAATTTGTAATTAATTGTGCATATTCTTACACTGTTGGATAAAGACAAAGTTATGCATCGACAAACATGGAAAATATTTATCACTTCCATTTGAATACTATAAATATATGTAAGTGTGGGTATGTGGAACCTTAATTTGGCCTCCTAAATTCATGAATAGCAATGGGAACAGCACAGAAGCGAGCGCTTCAAACGAAAGAAAAGGAAACGTCCCCGATAGAAGCGACAGTGAGGACTAATCTAGCTGGAAACGAATGAACAGACAAATATTCATCAACGTAATTCATCCTTGCATTTAATTTATCGAGCATTAATAAATGGACAGAGGCGGGCAGAGGCGGGCAGGGCTAAGGGAAAGGCTGGGCAGTTCAACGGAAAGGAAGGAATCTTTAGGAGCTGGAATGGTTACCCTGGACTGTAATACTAGAGTCCCAACCTAGCCCTAATTTTCCAATATATATATATATATATATATATATATCTATATGTGTGTTTGTTTTATTTAATATTTAGAGTCCATGTTGATTGCAGTCAGGTTCTGTCATTGTTAAGAATCTGCTCTACTATTACAGTTGCGCTGAAGTTGCTGCTGCATTTGCAGTGTTTCTCATGGTTAGGGTTTGGAGTCTGTGAGAAAGGGGGTCTGGTCTCGGTGGTGTTCTTATGTCCTTGTTCTCAGCACACCTCTCGATCATCGCGACTCCTGTCATCAAGCGACACTGAGGAGCAAGAAGGAGCCGCAAGTAGTAGGAAGCTATGGAGATGGACTTCATTCTGTGGCTTCTCTGCTTCTTCGCTGTTGTCTCGCTGCTAGGAGTCCTCGTTTACCAAGTACAGTGCCAATTCATGTTTAGCTCATTGTTGGGTTTGGAGGAAGTAGGCTTTTGAAGGAGATAGGTTGTAATTGAAAGGAAGAAGCAATTAAAAGAAAACGGTGCGAGGTTTGAATACTTGGTTGAGGAGGTATTTCTAGGGTTTCGGGGCTTCTGTTGAACCCTCACTTATGATGCTTACTGGGCTTGATAGTGAGTTTGGGGTGGCGTTCACAGAGTTGCTTGCATTGTTGAGTGCTGGTTTTTATTGTTGAAAGAGCGTGCTTTTCGAACTATTTGGCGCTCTCCAGGTATTTCTGTTGAGTACTCCGCGCAGGTGAAGTGCGTCTGCTTTAACTTGATCGTGTAGGTGAATGGGTCAATTGGCTTAATCAGCTCTAGAGAATTCCAAGGGATGCTCTGAATTAAGAAATTTCGAAATTATAAATCATGAAGGTTTTTCAGCCTTTTTCGGAATCCTCGAATGAAATATTCATGATCATCGATATTTGTGTGATCTTTTACTACGTTGTCGGATGCCTGTAAAATCTCAAGTCTGGCAATTTCACCCTTGATGCAATTTTCAGGGGTAAGAGTTTATGCTGATGATTGGGAGTAATTGAGTTTGATTTGGAATGTGTTACGGATTGGCAGTTGATGTGCTTGTCAGACCTAGAGTTCGATTACAGCAACCCATTCGATTCTTCAGTAAACATCAATTCTTGCATAGTTCCCGAATTTTTCATTCATGGAACCCTGGGCTGCACCTACCTTCTTACTGGTCACTGGTGGCTGTTCATACTTAATGTCCCTTTGGCCTACTATCACACATCTTTGTAAGTTAATTCTTGCATCCTATCGCTTCACTTTGTTTGGCTTTTGGTGGTACAGCTGGTGATGCTGAGAATTGCAGTTGTTGTGTATCACCCTTTCTGCAAAAAAAAGAAAAGAAAAGAAAAAAGAAAACAAAAGAAAAGATGTTAAGCATGTGCGTTGATTACGAGCATTGTTTTGGCTCAGGTACTTACGGAAACAGCATCTTCTGGATGTCACGGAGATCTTCAGTCACCTTGGTCGTGAGAAGAAGTACCGGCTGGTCAAACTTGCGTTTTACCTACTTCTTTTCGTAATTGTTATTTTCAAGTACGACTTTGATTTTCATGTATCTCATCTTCTGGTTCAATTTCTGGAAAGTCCTTACTATCTTCTGAAGGTCGTGCATGGCTTGTTGAATGATTCAATAGTGGTTAAGTCTTATCCCCCTAGATTTGGATTCAGTCCATACGTCCTCTTGACATGGTTCTAAAGGTTCGTGCTGGCTGAATTAGGTCTCAACTGTGGCATTCAGCATACCTCAGGTCGTCTGAACCCTGTCGCGGAGGCTTTCAGTTGATAAATTCACCTAGAAGGATGTGTTTGCTGCCTGTTGCTAAGGATAATGGTTGCAGCTATTGTTTCATGATATCCTTGCTGAAGCTTGTCGCTGGGTGGATTTATTTTGTTATGTATTTGACTGTGAAGACGAGTGGGACCATCCAATGACTAATTTGTTCTATCTGTCAAAAAAGTGACATAGTACATTTATTACAAAAAGTATTTGGGACATGTAACGAAGCTATGATCTACGTGGCCATGTTGACGTGGATCATACGCCAGTCATGTATCGTTGTCAACCTGCTTTGAGTATGTACTGGTTTTCATGTTTATGGACAACAGATCGTGGAAACCGTGCGTTACGTAGATATTGTATGTTTCGTTCCTGTTGACTCATGTTGGTGGCGGATCTGCATGGTGGTGTGCACGATTGCAGACTGTTGGTGGCAACATTCCACCTAGTTCTGGAGCATGAGGATGCTGCGCAGACCGCTCGAACGTTCACAGCAATCCACGCAGACATGTGATTTTGAAGCCTATTGCACTGATCCTCTGTGAGTATGTGAATTTACTCTAATTGTTCTGTTATCTGAAGTTTTTGTCAGTTGCAACGGCACAGGAATTGTACATGTGAGTATTGTCTGCGAATGACTTGGGTTCATAGGTTACTAGTATGGCATGAACAATGTCGGATTAAGTCTTAGCGAGGCGGTGGATAGAGTTGAACAACTATGCATGGCAGGAGTATAGGGTTTTTGTCTTCCTGCATTTGGTTATCTATCAAATATCTCTGTGCATAGTTTCCTATGCTCAAAATGCCACGCTGATTGTGAGTTGCGAACTTTATGTTATTGCTGTATATTGAAGGATCTTACGAAAGCGACTTAGATTTTTTTTGGATATATTTGTGCCGAGGTATTCGGGGATGATATTAATTTGCCAATCGTAAGGTATGGGCCTCCACGGCAAATCAATGGGTTGAACCCACGGTAGGTAAATTGTTGTCTCCTTTTAGCATTCCATGTTTTGAACTAGAGAGAACTCCAAGCATTACTTCAGTATTGTTCGACTTACTAAGGTATATCTAGTCTTTTCTACGTTCTTTTGTTGTTAACGATGAACATCAATGGAGAGGACATATTCAAAACAATGTTTTGGGCAATACGTATACCATATTTTATTCACAAATCATATATCGCTCATTTCTTCAATTTTCTGGTTGCCTTTAGATTCATGTCAGCTCAATACGTTTCATGACGCTATTTTGGATTTTGTAATGTATCACGTGGACAGTGGTTTACATCATAGTATGACCTTGTTGGACAAGAGCAGCTACTGAGTAGTGCATTTGTGGCGGAGTGAGGAAATAAATGCAATAGTTAGGGCACAAACTCAGGCATCTATTTTCGGAAAAACTGTCCGAAAATAAAAAGCATCAAGTCTTGTTTAGAAGTTTGAAACAAAACTATTGTTTTCTTTGGGCATGAAATACAGTTAATGGAACAAACGTACGCCGCACCACAAGGGAGGTGGATTGAAGCTCATCACAATTCAATCTAAACAGAACTATATCTAAACTTCACTGGATGCTTCGTTCAATAATTTATGCAGTGAAGGTGGATTCTAGTACCTTTGAAAACAAAAGGGCATTTTAATGTGTTAGTTAGCTGTAAATAGATGTTAAAATTAGAGACTTCAATTTCAATATACTCTATTTTATTTGTGTACATTTGTTATCATGTCTTTTCAAATATTGATTTGTGGCATAAAATAAGTTTTATCATTGTTACTATTATTTAAAATCAGTCAAGTACATTTGTGTAATTTTATCTGCAACTCTTTCAAAATATCGGTATCAAATTTTGACAAAGGTGAAGCTTGCAAAAATCACATTGTATTAGGCTTACTATTCTTAAGTAAAACTAAATACAATTATTTTAAAATAAAAATAATTAATAACATATATATATATATATATATATATATATAGACATCTAAGTAGTATAGTATAATATAATTCTTGGTAATGAATAGTTGTAAAAATTAGAGAATATTTTTAATTGTATAATATTAATGATGCTATGGTTATTTTAATTAGTGTATAGAAGAATAATTTTATTATACTTAAGTGATTTTTATATAGATAAAGCAACATTCAATTGGTCATATATAAACATTACAAGCTAGAGACATGTATTAGTACTTTTCAATAATTTGTTTAAGATTTTTTAAGATTCTAAATGCAAGTTATAACAAAAATTACAAACATTGGAAATTGAAAAACATTCTTTTGATTATATAGCAATGAATTTTTAAAAGATTAAAAATAAAAATAGTTTTTTATGGTTGCTAATTGGAACTTCATTTCAATAACAAAGTTTGTAGGCATTATAACAGCTCAACAAGAACCATTACAAAGATCTTAAAGAAAATTAACACTACTTTAGAATTATGATAGAACATCTAGATATAGACTCCAATTATAATGGAGATAGATTTTATTATAATTTAATGTATTAAGTCATTCAATTAGGTACATAGTTCTACTTATTTTTAATTTTCTTATATATATGTATTTTACAACAAAATAAAAATTTAAGTCTACAAAATAGATTTGAAGAGCTATTTTATTCATGTTTCTAACATAATCATTTTTTCCTAATAAAATTAATTATTCTATAATACACACACACACACACACACACACACACACATATATATATATATATATATATATATATATATAAATCTGTGCATAACTCTAAAACCATTTGTGCAAAACTATTTGTAGTCTAATACAAATAGTTATGATAAAACCTTTAAAGAATAGATACACATTCTTATAATGAATTAATGAATTTAAGAAAAGAAAATAAAAATCAATTTTGGTTAAAATATTTCTAATTTTTTATTATTAAAAAAATAAAAATAAAAATAAAATAGAAATGTGATGATTTTAAAAAATATAAAAGAACAAAAATACCTTTAATATATAAAATATTATAAATTTTTGTTATTTATTATTTTTACATTAACCTATTTAAGCTTATATATATTTTAAAATAAATAATATATATATTAAAATTTCAAGCATTAAATACATATATTAGATTTTTTTTTTCTTTTTTTTTTTCTTTTTTTAAATGACATATACACATAAGTATATAAATATAATTTTAAAATTTATTCTCAATATATTTCTAATAATAATATAGATGTTGCATTAGTTCATTAATCTATACTAATGGAACATTCTATTATAGCAACTATTTTTTAATATATAACAAGCATATTAACTATATCTTTTATAAAAACTTAAATATTGAAGGTAATGTATGTCAATTAATAATTCTTATTCAAGGAACACATTAAAAAATCTTTTTGGTTTCTTAAATATTTTTTGCAACTATATCATATAAAAAAATATATATATACTATTCAATATAAAGACCATTAAAAATTAACTATTTAATTATTATTCAAAAATAAAATAATATATCTATATATAACAAAATACATACAAAGTTATATATATATATATATTAATCAAAAGAATTGTATGATTTTTATGAAGGTTTGTAACATTTAAGTGAATTTATTTTTATTTTGTACCATTCTTGTTTTGTATGAGCTTCTTGATAAAACTATATATATATATATATATATATATATATATATATATATAATTTTTACAATTAGTTCAAATCTATTTACCAGTAGAATTGTACCAATTTTACTTTTGAGCTTTTAAAATATTAAAAATAAATTTAAATCATCGCATGTATCAATGTATTATTAAATATGTTTTTGAAGCTCTTTACTTTGTTAATTATCTCAATCAATGAGTTTTATTTAATTTAAAGTTAGGGTCTTAAAAATATAGAAGTCTACTTTTTATATCAAAATAATTTATAAAAAATCTTAGAATTGTATAACTTAAGTTTTATTTTTTACTTTTTATATTTTATTTATTTATTTATCTTTTTCAATGTTTTATAACATTTTTATTACACATTTATACTCCAATAAGTATAGTATCTTTAAAAAGTTGATTTGTTTTATGATTTAAAAAAAAATAAGATTTAAATTATTATTTTATTTTTATGTTTATTTATTTATTTCAGATAAATTTTGTTTTAATTTCAAAAGTTATTCTTTGTTGTAGATTTTTTTATTTTTTATTTTTAAAATCTAAGTTTAGTCATTTGCACAACTATTTTACATGCTTGTTAATGTTGAGAGAATATTTTTTATTGGCCTAAATGTAATTCTTTTTCAACATTTACTTCTTTAGAAGCCATTAAAATATTGTCCATTTGCATATACCATTAAATTATTCTATCTGCCTTATGTTAGTGTCTGGTATTTTTTAACTGAAACCACATAAAAAATTTAATTAACACTTTCATCCTGTTCAATCATAAATACTACTATAGAAAAATAAAAATAGTCAATTTTTTTTATTAAAATATCAATACAAATACATTTATTCACATAACATATCAAAATTAATACTGCAATGAAAAGCTTTCCCTTAATATTCAAAAAATATATTTATTTATAACAACCTCAATTTATGTATTGTAGATACACATACATATCAAACATTATTTTCTATAATTACAACTATTGCAAAGCAACAAAACTGAAGGATAACTAAAAGCATAAAAATAAGTATTTTGTTTAAATATATTGTTTAATAAGGTATTGTAGAGCTTGAAAGTTCAAATAACATATGACACAAATATTACCATATAAAAATATTATATATATTTAAATATATTTACATATATATATAATATATTTTCAAATTACTTACAAATATATTACTTTTTTATTTATTTTTAGAATGAATTCTTTTATTTCTATATTGCAAAATAAAACGGCATTATAATAAGATACAATGTACAATTAACTTATAGATCTAGCAATTAAAAAATGTCTTATTGCTAAAAAATCTACCTAACATATTCTAAATATTTGTCACAAAAACATATAAAAAAATTCTAGAACAAGTATAAATAAAAACCTAATTTGATGATTTAGTTCTAAATTTAAAAGCAACAATAAATATATTAGTTCAATGACATTGACTATTCTAAGTTAAATCAAATTTTAACTCTATATTAAGAATATTTTATAATCTTTAATTTTTTGGTGAGATTTAAATAAGATTCATATAGAATTATAAAAACATAGTTAAATTCATTGCAAAATGGCATCTAAAAAGGCCTACAACAAACTCAAGATTGGACTTGCAATCATTGGTTGGTAAAATAATGTGTACATTGTTTCAACTTATATATAACTTTATTAATATAATATACAAATTATTTACTGTATACATGCATAAAGCAATGCAATACTTGTGGATGTATAAAATTTGACTTTTTTGTTTTGCTTTAGCAATGGCTTAGTTTTTAGTATCTATTACATAATAAAAAGAAGTGAGCAAAACCTTAGATAATACCAATTTCATGTAAGATCTTACAAATTATAAATGAATCAAAAGTAAAAAAAATATACTATAAAACTTTGAAATCTTTTTTATTATTAAATGCTACACATATAAAATTTCTTTTTCTCTAAAGAGATAAAAAATCACTTTTGTTATACATGCAACTAAGTGTCGTAATGTTATATATGAAATAAAAAAGTTTGAATTAGAATTGATCAAAAACAAAAGCATAAAAAAATTGTATAAATAATTTAAAAATCTTTAAAAAAAAATTAAATGAAAAAATAAAGATTTTATGTGTACTTCTACATTAGATATGCAAACAATCTTATTAATATTTCTAATTTTTTAATTTTTAAAACATCACTACAATTTTTAATTTTTTATATATATATAGAATGTTTATGTAAAGTATCACCAATCTTATAATAACCAAAGATTTAGTTAAAGTACACATAACATTTAAGCCTACAAAATGACTTATTTATCCAATTATATTATAAATTAATTTTACTATATATATATATATATATATATATCTTAATATATTAAAAAATATATGAATTCTTATGTATCCAAAATAAATATAGAATATCTATATATTACTTTACATATATATAATTAATGAAGATTTTTTTTTTTTTTTTCTTTCAATCAAATTTAGCTTATATATATATATAAGCAAAAGAAGGAAAAATACCAAATAGAAAAGTCAATACAAACAAGAGCATTTACACATTGGTTTAAACTAAC